GTCGGGAACTGGCAGCGGCGGTACCTGTGCCCGAATTCACCGCAGTAGAAGCAGAGTGGGTGGTAGTCAGAGGTTCGCTAGATGTCAGTCTTCCTGGAAGCGTAGCGCTGGCCGGCCGGCGAGTGGTATGGCATCGGTGGTGGTGGTGGTGGTGCCTGGAGCAAGAACTGTGGCTGGGCAGTGTCCTGACGAGACCGTGAATGAGTGTTGTGACGCACTTCAGTGGCGTAGCTCATTGCTTCCAGTTCAGTCTGCTGTGCTTCTGCGATTCCAAGCGATTGCCGAACTTCTTCGCGTACAATGTCGGCAACAGAATTGGCTTGAAGCAGCGTTGAAGGTAACAGCTTCCGCAGCTCCTCCCATACGATGGCTCGAATCGTCTCAAGCAGATAGTCGGTACTGAATGCATCGTCGCGGTTGAATTAGGCGCGGTGGTTGTATTGCGTTGTGCGCATCTCAGACGCTTTTTCTATTGTTGTGGCTATACACGTCCGGAGAAGGTAGGTGTAGTGCTTCGCTGCTCCTTTCCGTTGCCCGAGAGCTGACCGGCCGCGCTCCATTGGGAGAGCTGTCCAATCTAGACGACGCATTGACAGAACCACTACTCTACAACGCTACGCTGGAGTACTACCGACAGAGCCGTTACACGTATCCTCTCCCTCATCCTTCACTTAACAGAGTCGATGCTGTCGCTTGGCGGCAACTACAGACCAATTCATTTCCTTGCCTTTATATGCTAAATCGCTTTCATCCGACTGTCTACCCCTCTTACTGCCCCTTCTGTGAATCCGTACTGACGGTGTACCACTCTACGTGGGAATGCTCTGCCCCACAGGGCGTTCCTTCCATTCCCAACTCACCCCTTCCTCTTGGGAGTCTGCACTGCTCAGCTGACGCCGGCAGGAACAGCAGCAGCTGGTCCAGCGGGCTCGCAAGGTCGCGCAAGGCAATGGAGCCCTGAACTGAAGGCCCCACTTAAAGAAGGCTCAGTGTGCATTTGTTATTATTAAATGTTTATTTTCTCTTTCTCGCTGCTCCTTTTATCACCGTTTCCTTTCTCCTCCCTGCGCCCCACATTACCGTTCACTCACGCCTCATTCTCGACTGTTCGCTGGCTGGGTGCCCGCCTCCCGAGAAAATCCGGGAATACGTGCTGGGGACGCCGCTGTAGAACAGCAACGCCGAACCGAGAACGCTGTTTTTTGTTATCCTAATGCTATTTTGGAACTGTGCACGCTAACTAATAAAGCTGGCAACGCGTATCGCGTTTCTTGTGACAGAAAAATGTCACGTGCGACAAATGGCACTATTGGCTGCATTGTGTAAAAAATCACAGCATTATCCACAGAGCGCATGATGACGAGTGAGGCGAAGCGTCTGTCAGTCCGTGGGTGCTTCCGCTCGTTCATTTTTTTGCGTCTGTCCATCCGTGCGTATGTCAGACAATCAGTGCGTCCGTCTGTTCGTCGATCTCTCTGTCTGTCTGTCTTCGTCCATGTGCCCATCCGTGCGTCTGTTTATCCGTCCATCCGTTTGTCTGTTCGTCCGTTCGTGCGCCCGTCCATTCATGTATCTAGTGATTGCTCCAAGTACCGCCATCTCGCATCTTTTCATTTTATAATCACCATATATAAGTACCGTCATGTAGCGGATACTCCAAGAACTAAATGAGAGGTCAATATCTACTAATACTTCTACTATTACTGCTACTACTACCACTACTACATACATCGTGGAGGCACGATCGATAGCTTAAGAAGCTTCACCCTTAGAAAGTCACAAAATATCCATGAAGTGAATGATGATGAGCAGGGCGAAGCGTTTGTCAGTCAATCTGTTCGTTTTTGCGTCTGTTCGTACGTGCACCCGTCCATGCGTTCGTCTGACCATGCGTGCGTCTGTTCGTGGATTCCTCTTTGCGTGCGTCTGTCTTTCTACCCATCCATGCGTGCGTCCGTCCGTGCGTCTTCCCGTTTACACGTCTGTTTCTCCATGCGTTCATTCGTCTTTCCATGCGTCAGTCCGTCTGGGTGTATGTCTGTCCATCCGTCCATCTGTCCATCTAGTGAACATTCCAACTAGCGCTATCTCTCATTTTTTATCATGTATTCATCTATAAGGTCTTTAGATGAAACAAGTTTCCAATATAGCCAGACCATTCTTTTTCCTCCTCGCCTATGTTCTTGGGGCGCCTCCTAGAAGTTTAAAAACACTCTCCAAAAATCGAATGTTTGGGTTCGATTTCTACGGTGAATAGATGTAAATGAAACAAAATGGAACGAAATGACTCGTAGACTGAACGGTTACCTGTATGAACATAATCAAAACAACACACGAGCAAGCACGATGCGCGTTACTCAACTGGCAACGTTGTGCATTTCTATATTTTACACCACTAGCCATTGAGACTGGCGCTGTACTTCCAGAGTTATTCACTCTATTGCGCATTTCGGTTTGTCCAGTTATAACTAGAATTTCACCGACCGTGTTTTGTTCGTGTTGTGTCACAGTGAACCTGCTTCTTGCTGAATCCTGTCGGTGAGCACAGGGCGTGATGGTGTGACGAGTAATCACAGCCAGCTTGTGCACACGTAAAGAAAAACCACGGCCATACTGGTATGAACGGTTGACTAGCAGCACCGCGTTGGCGGTTTCTTTTAAATGTGCCCATTTGGGCACTTGTGAAGCCAGGTGATTCTGGTGTGGTGTGCGGAACTTCCTGAAAAGTGAGAGTTCTACTGGTGTGGTGTTCCAAAGCAGCACGTTCCGGCTCCTTTATGCCGCATTCTAGTCATCTGGTTAAGCGTGAAATGCTTCTGAAGGTGCGTTGATTGCACCCTCCAGCTGGTCTTTATACGTGCATACGCGCAATTATTTTACCAACTGGCATCTACGAAACGTGCATTTGAGGCGTGCCTGGCGTTCAATAAAAACCTACAAAGAAGCTCGCTTCGTAGATGCGTGTCGACGTACGACGCTGACTTCTACGAAAGCATTCGCGTGGAATTTTTCATAGCTACACCTCACGGTGTGCTTCACCTCGGATAGCACGAGGTAAGAGAGCGAAACCTTTCTCTGTTGTGTTACGGCAACGCAGCGTTCTTAGCGGATTTGGCATTGAACGAGCACTAATAGCGGATTTGGCATTGAAAGAGCACTGTGAAACAGTCGTGGTCAACTGGTTGACTTTGCCCACACTGAAACACTCCCAGTTTTCAGCTAATATCAGGGCTACAATTTCGTCTTTGACCACGGCAAAAACCCGGCTGGAGCCATACGCCCATGCATACTCGTTTTAAACCTTTTGCATAATAATAAATCACACCACAAGCCATTAGCAAGATCACGTGCAAGAAATGCATCAATCACAGACGCGGATATCACAGAAAAGGAGGGGTAAGCGAGAGATTGAAGAGAACGGCTTAAGAACAATGAGGGACGCTACCTTGGAAACTTGTTTCATCTATCGACCTTATTCATCATGTACATGTACTGCCATTCAGTGGACATTCAAAGGACTAAACGAGAGCAGGCTACCTACTACTACTACTACTACTACTACTTGTGCTACATACATTGTGAACGCACGACCCACAGCCTAAGCAGCTTCGCTCCTAAAAAAACATTATTTTAACGCTGAGTTCCCACGTGCAAACCACCATTATGTGTGCTACACAGTTTATTCTCATTGCCTCAAGATTCCCTTTTACTTGGAGCAGGTGAGGCATTTTTAAATAGGAATGAATTTTTAGTCAGGCAATGTCAGGCGTCCGTCGGGATCTCTCCACTGCCCTCTCCCAAAAGAACAGCTGGGGACACGTGGGTCCCTAGCAACCGAAGCCCCTGTCATGTCCCCTTCTAAGGCAGTTGTCCGCAACAGGTTCGAGTGCACGCGGTTATCCTCGCCTCTAGCAACCGGAGCCCCCCCCCCCTCCCCCTTCTTGACTTGCCACTACCTCAATGCAGTGCGTTTTAAACGCGTTTGTAGCGTTTGTGTAGATAAGACGCTGACAATATGGCCGTCAGGTACCATGACAGGTGCAATGCTTTGCCATCTTTCCCTCGCCGTTCGTTCTCTTTGTATTCCCTACGCCCCACTCTCCCGTTGAAAGCAGTAAAGCGTGTGCTTCACTCTCTACCGTTTGCTAGCTGGGTGCCTCTCAAGGTGATGGGAGATGTCTAAGGCAACGGTACCCTCTCTGGGCGCAAGAAATGTATCCACATTTCCCCACAATTCCTTTTGGGAATGTGGAGGAACTTTTTTTATCAACATTTCCGTGCGCATGTTTAAATTAGCGCTGTGTTCTTGTAATGGCAACGTATCGAAAGCTTCGGTCCAAACAGTTTTAAGTCATTGTAGATGAATTGACAAATCAATGATAGCAAAGCAATCGCCTAACGAAAGCGGGCTTCATCCTCCAGCTTCAAGGGCTTTAATATAGTGTATCCTACTTGAGTGTTGTTCAGTTTTAAATTCAGATTGCTCATTGTGCTCAAGGTTATTATGGTTCTGGCAAGATGCAGTTTGCTCATGTCACACGGTGATTTTCGGCTCGCTCACCACCATTTTAAACTTTCACACATGACATTTTCCTTGTGGTGCACTTTCCATGTTGCGAAAGACAGCCACATAATTATGTCAGCACAGTATTTGCACCTTATGCTGCTTTCTCCAGTTGCTCGAACATGAAATATCACATCCATACCCTGTAAAAATGCTTTGCATGCGTTCTTCACTTGAAGTACTAAATCTACCTTAACTCATTAACTCTTAGGTGTGGTCTGTCCCACTTCTAGGACCAATTCTAAAGTTGGGGTAAGGTATAAAATCAGGCAAATATGTCCACCATATTTCAACTGCTTCATATATTCGCATGTTTCTACTCATTCTCTGTATAAAAAAATCAAGGAATGAAAGTCACTAGTGAGATCAAATTGTCTACGCACGTATTAGTCAGGCTTGAACAATATTTCGCTACGAGAGAAATAACTACACTTACATTTCCGGCAGGCGTATGCAAATGTAAATATCGGCATGTACTATGGCCACCTGATTGGAAAAATGAAGAACGATTGGTTAGGCTCGCAGTAATATTTGGTTTTTGACAAAGTTTAAGTTTGATGCTCGTCTTTATTTAAGAACAAAGGTGGAACACTCTTTCCTGTAATTGTAGTTAGAAGTAGGTGACTTCAGGTTGATTGCTTTGTAAGTATGGTAATACACATATCCCTGATCTATTTTTGCCAATTTAGTTTCTTGTAGAGAAGATACACGTGGTCTTTAATCAAGTTCATGACGCGTACTGATAGTCTTGCCTCCGAAATATGCTTTAGTATGTTCTAGTAAAACAGGGTCCTCAAATTCAACTGACTTAGCGGGCCACGTTGACTTAATTTAGTTCCGCAAGAGCTGGGTCAGGAAATGATGAAGCGGAAGTGGGGAGAGTGTAATGCGGGTTTTTAATATTATTTGATGAGAAATATCTAGGTATGGACCCGTGAAAGTCTTAAAATATTCAAAGCCATTTCTTTGAACGAAATTCCCACAAAATATTTCATTAACAAGTACGCAAACGAGGATCCCCACAACACCACAACACGAAGTACTTAATAAAAACTTCACTCACGGTGGTGAAACACTTCTGACAGCCCACAATACTACAGTTCCACGCATCAATCTACGGGAGACAGTCCTGACATGGGTGATTGGTAGAGTAGGTAAGATACTTCTCCGGTCTCACCAACAAATTGAGCCTTAGCGAATGAAAAAGCTGGATCCCGGTCGCCCCAGCTTTAGGACGCGGGCACGTCAACGATGAGGGAACGCTGGCTGCTGACTATGTGTTGAGAAACTAGGACTCACCTGGCCAGGCAGCTGCGCACACAGCTCTGGTGCGTAGCCCAACTGCTGCTGCTTGCCTGTCAGCACCGAAGTAAGCTGGCCCTGAGTTGGAGTTTAGGACCGAACGGCCATGGTCCTCTCGGGCGGGAACGCGATGGCAGAAGGCGCTGGCGGGTGGAAGTGTCTAATACTCGGGTCCTACACCAGACGGCTCATCCTCAGCGTCCGGTCCAGCGACAACCTTCCGTTCGCCACACTGTCTTCAAACTCCCCTACTCTTCTGCTACATAAGCTTCCTGCTTCACTTAAATCCACTCATCGGCTTCCCATTGAGATTGCACGGTTGGTGCGCCAACCACTCACTAGCGCTTGAAGTTGGCATGATTTTTTCTCAATGGATATCTTCTGTCTTTTAACTGATTAAGGGCGCGCACATAAACAAGGTCACTAGAATGGCAAATTGGACAGACCAAGAGCACCTACTCGCCAGCAAAGTTTATCCGGCAGAAGGGTAGCTACATATATACCACTTCTGCCACATGACCTGGCAAGTGAAACAGCAAAAAAAACAAAAAATGGCAGTGGCTTAGCTCAGCTATGCCAGGATATACGTAGCGTTAGCAAATGTTCAGCTAATTATCCTTAGCTTTCCAGTTATCATGCTTACATCTGTTCCAATGACACACACACGGTATACGTATTTTGTGACACATGCATATTTATTTTGCCGGGCAACTACTTGGGGATCCGATGAGTTAAGCTTCTTCGCTCTACAGCACCGTTGAGCAGCATTTGCAATCTCCTTCTCCAAGGCTATACCACAGTGGCAAACGCCAGTCAGAGGCGCTATCAAGCGGCTGCAGTGCAGTGTCAGATGGCGACTGCACAGGGAAGGCGTGCGCGTCGGCGTCCATATGTCTACCAAGGCTATGACGACACTCCTCTGGAACGTGCACACCGGCGGCGGCGAGTCGCGCACGGCCGCGGCCGAGTGCGACGGAGGTGCCGGCTCCACTACGCACTGATCGTCTACGCAGTGCATCGAATTGCGCGCACACCGGTGGCGATTTGCGCGCGGTGGCGGCGGAGTATAATGGCGCATGCACAGACCAGTGCCACGCAAAATTCGCTGAGCGAGGCTAGTGTAGCTAACGCTTCAAAAAATGGAGCTATAAAACACGTGCCTCACATCAGAGTGTCAGAGGGCTCATAAAATATGAAAATTCTTTTTCTTCCAACGTGATAGACAGTGCGCTTACTCATTTATGCTGGCTTTTCCTAAGGTGAAATGCCTCTATCAGCTCTCTCTTGGTCCGATCTGTGTGTTTCAATTAAACATTAGCATCACAAAAAAAGGGGTTGCAAGCGCACGATGCTGTGATATTTGGGCATGTTTGAACTATTTTTGTTGTCCAACGATCTTCTATGTTCTCGCAACCTGCTGTTTACACACCATGCCGTCTGGCCTCTGCAGATTAGATCACAGGACAAAAGTACCAAATTTACAACACCTGTTTTACAATTTACATATGGCTGCCTATGGTTGACATCGCATCCTCTCTGTTTTTGACCCATAGCGTTTTGCCCTAATTTTCTCTATATTCTGCTACAAAGCTTGATTAGCTTGTTTGGGACCAATACAACTGCCTCAACGTCATATCTATTTGCTACGTTTTTAAAAAAAAACACCATGCGACAGCTTGTGCATGTAGGGGATGACAGAGGGCTTTTTCACAGGTTACTTTATTCTGTCATTTTCTTGGTCTAGTGTTTTACTTTTTTCAGTAACTTCTGTGCAACCTTGCGCAGGACGGGCTGACGAAAGCCAGTGGTACTCAATCTTTCAAGCTGATTTGAGAAAATTTCTGTCGTTTTTTCGGAGCACAATTTTTTTTGGCGGAACTCAAAGTAAACATAGCTATTCCCATTCTAACAATTTTAGAATGCCCTGAGTTAAAAGTTTGTGAGGGCTTTTTTGGAGCGTTGAATACACAGAGGAAGGTAAGGTAGGAGAGGCCCTGACGTCACTCGTTCTGAAGCCGCGATGAAGTTGGAAGTCGGCCGTATTGACTGGGCGAATTCTCCTCTGTTGTTTACATCCAAATAAAAAGCAGAAGGTGCGACTCTCCCTCCGGCTTGGAAAGCAGGTGGGCTGCTCAGCGCGTGTGTCGTGACGATCCTAAACTAATAGAATGGGGCTCATAACTCTGAACCAGCAGGACTTCTTCAGCGAAATTATTTCGTCCGAGTAATAACAGGGAGTAACGCCCCGCCGGCAACGAAGCAACTACAAGAGAACGCGCGCTAGATGCACTGACAATGGCGAGTGTTTTCACGTCAATAATTTAGCAACTGTAGATACAACAAGATTGGTCGTGCGCCTTCTACGGTTGCATACCGCCACGTGGTCGACGCAGCGTCCGGCCACTGTGTCCATGTTCCACGTGAAACTCACCGGCGTCAGCATTCTGCGACCATGGTGACTTTAAGCACGGTACAAGTGACACTTGAACGCGGTTGCTGTTACGTTGAGATTACATGCAATGCTGGTGGAGAGTGTACCAAGCGGAACAGAAAAGGTGTTTTAATACGCACATGCAAGTTTATTTTTATTTAGTTATATCCAGGTACTGTTGGCCGATTGGGCCGTTATAGGGGTGGAGTAGAAAACTGACATAACAACCGTCATGTCATGCGTAAAAAAGAAATGCATAACCGATACAAAAGGAATACATCACTATACTACGTTCTACGACTTACATGCTACATCACATACATCACAAAATACACTTCCCAATATTACATCCTACAACGTACATGAGACAAGTTACAGCAAATAGATTCATAGTCAAAAGATGACAGGCACACACACCAAAAACAGCAATCACCGTTTACAAAGATTCACCTAGAAAATATTTCGTAACATTGTTTTCAAAATGTTCTGCAGTTTGAGAATCACGCATAGCATCGGGTAATACATTCCAGTCTTCTATTGTTCTAGGGAAAAAAGAGTATGCATATGTGTTCACACGACATTGAGGAACTAGATATTTTCTGAGGTGGTCACTTCGTAGGCTCCGCACTTGACGGGGAATTAGGTATTGCTCTGCATCAAAGTTAAATGTATTTTGGAAAAGCGGGAACAAGAATTTAAGTCTGGCTATGCGACGGCGGTCCACGAGGGGCTGTAAATTTAATTCTTGCAGCATCTGTGTTACAGAATCTTTACGAGAATATTTTGAAAGAATAAATCTAGCCGCCCTTCTTTGTACCAGCTCGATGTTTTTATTTAATCATTTTTGATAAGGGTCCCATATGATGCTTGCGTATTTCAGTGTAGGCCTTACTATTGTTAAGTACGCTGTTAACTTTACGGGGGCTGGAGCCAGTTTTACTTTGCGGCGTAATAAGCATAACTTCTTTTCAGCAGTAGAGCAAATATTACTGATATGTTGGGTCCAGTTTAGGTCTTCGGATATTGTTACTCCTAAGTATTTACATCTGTTAACGGTAGCTAACGCAGTGGAACTTAGTTGATACTCGAAATTTTCGACGTGCTTTACTTTGTTTGTAACTCGCAAAACAACTGCTTTTTCTTCATTTATTTGCATTTTCCATGTTTCGCACCATTTCTCGACAGATGCCAAGGCATCGCTGAGTATTTTTTGATCATTATGGTTGCATATTTCTCAATAAAGTAAACAATCATCGGCGAACAGTCTGACAGTCATATTTTGATTATTGTCTGAACAAATATCATTAATGTAAACGAGAAATAACACCGGTCCGAGTACGGACCCTTGAGGGACTCCAGACCCTTGAGGGACTCCAGAAACGATCAGACTTGTAGCCATTTATGTCCACATACTGCGTCCTACATGTCAGATATGACCTGACCCATTCTACTACATTGTTATTTATGCCAATCTGCTTCAATTTCTTAATAAATTCGTTAAGAGGAACCCTATCGAAGGCTTTTGCGAAATCAAGGCATATTGCATCAACCTGTCTTTCGTTATCTATTGCTTTTGAAAAGTCTTGGATGGTCTCAAGAAGCTGCGTTACGGTTCATAGCTTTTGTCGGAAGCCGTGTTGGTTAGGATGTAGCAGTTTTGTATTTTCTAGGTACTGATATATACTTTGGATATAACATGTTCGAGGAGTTTGCAGCAGACGCAGGTTAAGGAGATCGGCCGGTAATTTTTGAT